TCTCTCTCTCTCTCTCTCTCTCTCTCTCTCTCTCTCTCTCTCTCTCTCTCTCTCTCTCTCTCTCTCTCGCTTCTCTCTCTCTCGCTTCTCTCTCTCTCGCTCTCTCTCTCTCTCGCTCTCTCTCTCTCTCGCTCTCTCTCTCTCTCGCTCTCTCTCTCTCTCTCTCTCTCTCTCTCTCTCTCTCTCTCTCTCTCTCTCTCTCTCTCGCTCTCTCTCTCTCTCGCTCTCTCTCTCTCTCTCTCTCTCTCTCTCTCTCTCTCTCTCTCTCTCTCTCTCTCTCTCTTTCTCTCTCTCTCTCTTCATCATCTTATTATTCTTCGATGCAATTTTTGTATCATTGTTCCACTAATTTTTTGTTTTTATTATTCTTACCATCTATTTTTTTTTTTTTTTTGTCTTGTTCTTGTTCTTATTTACATTATATCATTATAATTACTCTATCATTATTGTTATTCTCATTATCATTACTATTATCATTATCATTATTATCATTACTATTACCATTGTTATACTTCTTTATCATTATTGTTATTATTGTTATTATTGTTATTGTTACTATTAATATTGTTATTATTATTATAGCTATAATTGTTATTATTATCATTGTTATTATTATTATTATTATTATTATTATTATTATTATTATTATTATTGATCATTATAATTATTAGCAGTATTGTTATTATTATTACCATTAGTAGTAGTAGTAGTGGTATCTTTATCATCATTATCATTATCATTATTATCATTGATATTATTATTATTATTATTATTAATGATATTATTATTATTATTATTATTATTATTGTTACCATCATCATCATTATTACTACTATTAGTACTACTTCTATTATCATTATAATCATTATCATTATCATCATTAGTATAATTATCAGTATCATTATTGACACTGCCATCATAATCATTATTATCATCATTATTATCACTATGATCATTTTTATCATTATTATCATTATTATCACTATCATCATATTTATCATCATTATCACCAATATCATCACTATCATCAGATATAATTTTCTTCATTTCTCTTCTGATCCCTCTGCTTCTTAATCTACCTAATCTTCTTATTCCCTTTCACTCGCTTTTTTGTTTTTTTCTTATCTCTTTTTTTCTGTTTGTTGCATTATTCTCTTTTCTTCGCCTCTTAGGAGAAAAGAGAAAAGATGCTGATCATCTCATCTCGTTTGTCTTACACTGTGTATTGTAGCGATAAGTGGCTTCCTTGGCGTGGATCTAGGTGGATATGAGGCCTCCAGTCTCTCTCTTTCTTCTCTCTTTTTTCTCTATTTCTCTCTTCTTTCTCTCTCTTTCTTCTCTTTTTTTCTCTTCTTCTCTCTCCTCTCTCTCTCTCTTTCTTCTTTTTTTTATCATCTTCTCTCTTACCTCTCTCCCTCTTTATTTTCTTTTTCTCTTCTCTTTCTCCTCTCTCCCTTTTTCTTCTCTTTTTCTCTCCCTCTTGTCATCTTAAGATCTCGTCCTATTCTCCAATCTTCATCTCCTCCCTCTCTCTCCTCTTTCCCCTCTCTCTCTCTTTCGTCTTCTCCCTATCTTGTCCTCTCCCCATTCTTCATCTCACCTTCTTCTTCCTCTTCTTCTTCTTCCTCGGTTCTCTACCTTCTGTTTTCCTTTATAACCTCTTCTTCTCCTCTCTCTTCTCCCCTTTTCCTCCTCTTCCTCTACCCTCTCCCCTTCTCCTTTCTTCCCTTATCCTCCTCCCTCTCTCCTTCGTCTCTCGTACCCTTCTTTCCCATCCTCCCCCTCTCCTCCTGCTTTCTTCTCCCTCTCTCCCATCTCCCCTTTTATCTCTCTCTTGTCCTTCTCCAATGGCTGAAATTGTTCCCGTTATCTGTGTGTGTATCTATTTATCTATCTATCTATCTAATCTCTCTCTCTCTCGATCTGTCTATCTATTTATCTCTAATTCTCTCTCTCTCTCTCTCTCTCTCTCTCTCTCTCTCTCCCTCTCTCTGTCTCTCTCTCTCTCTCTCTCTCTCTCTCTCTCTCTCTCTCTCTCTCTCTCTCTCTCTCTCTCTCTCTCTCTCTCTCTCTCTCTCTCTCTCATTCTCTCTCTCTCTCTTTCCTCTTTTTACCTCCCCCCCTTTATCGTTTGTTGAATTGCTTGTTTTTTTTTCTTTCTTTTGTTTAGATATTTATGGATGCATTAACTAATTACAAACTTAATCAACAAGATAATCACCTAATATTTATTCATCCAGCCATTTTCCCATCTCTTTATTTTCCTATCGGTCTACCTATGCGTTAATTTTCCTCTCTATTTATCTATAGTTATTTTCCTATCTATCTGTCTATGCAATTATTTTCCTATATATCTATCTTTGCGTTTATTTTCCTATATATCTATCTTTGTGTTTATTTTCCAATCTCTTTATCTATCGTTTATATTCCTCTCTATTTATCTATCGTTTATGTTCTTATCTATTTATCTATATGTTTATTTTCCTTCTTGTTTGCACCTAATCAATCTTCTTGAATAAGACATTCACTCATTCAGCTAAACCAAGATAAGAAAAAAATTACTATCATTTTTTGTTTTTTCTTTTCTTTCTTCCTTTTTTTTTCTTTTTGAAGGCCGGTTCTGCCTCCTCTTTTTTTTACTTTTTAATTGCAAGCCTGAGGTCAGCGTTCAAAAAGTCTTGTTTTGCTCGTTCTCCTTTGTCAGGCTTTATTTGCCTCGTAATGTGTGTGTGTGTCTGTCTGTCTGATTGTTTTGTTGTTTTTTTTTAATGTCTCTGTACCACTGACTCTCTCTCTCTCTCTCTCTCTCTCTCTCTCTCTCTCTCTCTCTCTCTCTCTCTCTCTCTCTCTCTCTCTCTCTCTCTCTCTCTCTCTCTCTCTCTCTCTCTCTCTCTCTCTCTCTCTCTCTCTCTCTCTCTCTCTCTCTCTCTCTCTCTCTCTTATTCTAATTCTTCCTTTCTCTCTGTTGTTGAACAATAGTAATATAATAATAATGATAATAAGAAAATCATATTTATATTAAGATATACATTTCCCCTAATTACTTCACTACACATAATCTTATTATATACAAACGCATTACTAAAAGCGATTAAAACGACAACAGCAAAATTATATATATATATATATATATATATATATATATATATATATATATATATATATATATATATATATATATATATATGTATATATATATATATATATATATATATATATATATATATATATATATATATATATATATATATGTATATATATATTTATATATGTGTGTGTGTGTGTGTGTGTGCATCAATTATATATATATATATATATATATATATATATATATATATATATATATATATATATATATATATATATATATATATATATATATATGTATGTACATATACATATATATATATATATATATATATATATATATATATATATATATATATATATATATATGTATATATATATATATATATATATATATATATATATATATATATATTCATATATATATATATATATATATATATATATATATATATATATATATATATATATATATATATATATATATATAGCTGGTGGCTTTTGCGATGAGTCACAACTTGTGGATTGTGAACACGTTCTACAAGAAAGCCCCAAGACACAGGATCACCTACCAAAGTGGAGGGTCACAGACACAAATCGCCTACATCCTATGCCGCTCAAATGACAAAAACACCAAAGACTGTAAAGTCCTTCTAGGAGAAAGCATCACAAACCAACCTCGGCCAGTCATCTGCACACTGAGAGTTGCTGAGTTGAAAGCCCAGACAAAGTCAGGAATGCCAAAAACCAAATGGTGGAAGCTGAAAGAAGCAGAGTGCCGAAGTGACTTCAAAGAGAAGGCGAGAGAGAGGCTAGAAAAGAGGAGACAGGAAGAGAGGTGTGACTGGGAAACTATCGCAGAAGATATGAGAACAGTAGGAGAGGAAGTGCTGGGTAAAGCGTCAGGGAAAGTGAAGACTGGAAAGGAGACGTGGTGGTGGTGTGAAGAAGTACAGAGGCGCATTCGAGAGAAGAAGGAAGCGAGGAAGAAGAGAATAGATAATAGTACAAAACTGCAAAAAGGGAAGCTAAGAGAGCAGTGGCAGTGGCGAAGGCAAGAGCGTATGACCAGCTCTATAAAGACCTGGATACAGGTGAAAGCACGAAGAAGGTACTGAAGATGGCAAAGCAGAGGGATAAGAACTCAAAGGACATCTATCAAGCGAATTTGATAAAGAGTGAGGAGGGAAATGTGCTGGTAAAGGACGAAGAGATCCTGGAGAGGTGGTAGACGTATTTCATGGAACTCTTGAATGAAGAAAACACTAGGGAAGCATGGGAGGAGGAACAAGCAGAGAACCTGGAAGTGGTGGAGGCGATCACGGAAGACGAGGTAAAGAGAACGCTCAAGAAGATGAAAAGCAGGAAGGCAGTGGGTCCCGACAACTTGCCCATAGAAGTCTGGAAGTGCCTGGGGGGAGAAGGAATAGCTTTCCTGTCCAGAACACTCAACAAGATATGCGAGGAAAAGGAGATGCCAGTCATGGCGGCGGAGCACCCTCATCCCTGTCTACAAGAACAAAGGCGACATTATGTCAAGTGGAAGCTACCGCGGCATCAAACTCATGAGCCACACAATGAAATTATTTGAGCGCACTATTGAACACAGGCTGATGAGACTGGTCAATATCAGCAAAGAGCAGTTTAGATTCATGGAGGGGAAGTCGACTACGGATGCCATTTTTGCCTTGAGACAAGTGCAGGAGAAGTACAGGGAGACCCATAAAGTGCTGCATGGCGTGTTCATTGACCTGGAGAAGGCCTACGACAGAGTGCCGCGGGAGGAGCTGTACTGGTGCATGCGAGAAAAGAACATCCCAGAGAAGTACATTAGCATAGTTAAAGACATGTACAAGGAGAGTGAGACAATGGTGAGGTGCATGTCAGGAACAACAGAGCCTTTTAAGGTGTAGATGGGACTGCACCAGGGGTCAGCACTGAGCCCGTTCCTGTTTGCCATCATCATGGATACCCTCACAGACAACATCAGGAAGGAAGCTCCATGGAGCATGATGTTCGCGGACGATATGGTGCTCTGCTGCGAGGGGAAAACCGAGCTGGAGGAGAACCTAGAGAGGTGGCCCGATGGACAGGAGAAGAGAGGAATGAAAGAGTCGAGAGCGAAGACAGAGTACATGTGCTTGAACGGAGTCCCCGGAGGAAGCGTACGGATACAGGACCAACGGTTGCCAGAAGTAAAAGAATTTAAGTACCTTAGGAGCACGTTGCAAGCGGATGGAGGAGTGGATGCAGAGATTAGCAGAAGGATTCAATCAGGATGGAACAACTGGAAGAAGATGAGCGGTGTGTTGTGTGACAAGAGGATCCCAACCAGAGTGAAGGGAAGATCCAACAGACAGTGA